GCCTTCATGGTGATGTCATTTGTGACTGGTGATCCCTGAGCTTGCACAGTTACAGGGTGCAATATGCAGGGCCCTCTGTCTCTGTCTTTGAGGTCGCAGGCTCAGCCCAACCTCACTGTTTGCCCTCATCCATAATTTCTGGGGCCCAGTTACTGTAGATTAAGATACTAGATAAAGTGATCTATTTGTAAAATAAATGGGACATGTCACAATGTGGATGAAACGCTACCACGTGTGGTGTTTGCTGAGAACTACTTTGCATAACGTCCTTTATTACGTAGTTGGTGACACTTGGGCTTTCATTTATTTCTGAACAGCATGATGTAGAAATAAATAAAATTATACCCACAACTGCATCAAAGACAGAAACACCAGCAGTGTCTAAGTCTCTGAGTCCTTCTTTGGATGACACTGAAGTTAAGAAGGTGATGGAAGAGTGTAAGCGGCTGCAAGGGGAAGTTCAGAGGCTGCGGGAGGAGAACAAGCACTTCAAGGTAACGTTTAGTTTTCTGATCATCTGCAGAAAACGGGCTTTTCCACTAGAATCTGGCGGGGGGAGTTCATGAACACCTGAGTCTGTAGGTGCTTTTTTTGTATTTGAGCATTTTTTTCCCTGGGGAGAAATTTCCATAGCTTTTATAAGGTTCTCAAAAGGGTCCTTGAGTCCCCCAAAGGTAAAAACCACTGTCCTTGAGCCACAGTTTCTCAACTATTTAAACTCTTGTCCCCTTTAAAAACAAACTTTCACTCACCATTAATGTAAATTGAAAATAAATTTTGAGACTGAAAATAGAAGAGCAGTGGGGATTTTGAATATGTGTTTTCAAACCCCCACAGCACCCTGTTCACTTGGGTGGATTTTTTTTAGAGGGTGAGTAGCGCCCTGCACTCTCTTTTAGCCCAGGGGTAGTTCTGTTTCGGAGCCTCTAAGCTGTGAAGTGGGGAGCAGGGAGGGAAGGGGAAGCGATGAGAGTAACAGGAGGTTGAAATTATGGAATGAGAACCCCAAGTCTAGCTTGTTGACGCTGACCATTGAGCCAGCTGGCACCGGCCGGTGTCGGGTCCAGTCGCACTGGGTGGTGAAGGGAGACAGGCTGCGCTCCTGTTGGCTCTGGAAGCCTGTGGTGTCAGGAAAGACTCCATGCTCAAACTTGAAGTAGCTCTGAACATGTGCAAGTCACGGAACTCCCTGTTCACGGACGCCTCTCAGGCCCCTTCCTGCTGTAAGAGCACAAGTCTTTCTCAGGCACGGTGCTGAGAAAACATTTCTCAGTAGCTGATTATAGGAACTTTTGTTACAGCCTAAGGTTTTAGGCCGATCCGTTCTCTTAATCTTGATCGCGCCACCCAAGCATGTAACAGGTTTCCCCTCTTTAACTAGCAGAGTACCAGGTACACAGAATAAATTAATTTCTGTTGAGTTCTCCTTCTCTTTTATTCCGACAATGCAGTAGACAGAGGAGAACTGGCAGCGATGGGGAAATGGCATCGTCTTCTTCCTGTTCAGTAATCTTGATTTGCCTCAGTCAATAACTTCTTTTAGTATGGAGTAAATTATGAAGTTGACACTTTACTTTTTGGCAAAAAATCTAAGAGATGCCTGAAGCGCCTCTTTGAGTGTGTTTCTCTTCTGAAACAGAGTTCTCTGCCGTTTAAAGTGATAAATAGGTAGAAATCCCTTCTATATATACCCAGTAAAATAAATGCTATACTTTGCTGTGCCCGTTTTTTTAAAGTTAATCAAATCACACCAGTAATTTATCACTGTGCAGCGATATTGGCCATGCCCCATGAGCAGAAGATCTTAAAATAATATCAGACCAGTCTTGACATTAGGAGATTTTTTATCCTGCCAAACACTGATTCTTGTTTTGTGTTGGCTCATTCTTTCATTTGGCCGACAAATTTACCGAGAGTCTCCTATGTGCCAGGCCCTGTGGCTGCAGTCATGAGCAGTCTGCCCTTCAGGAGCTCCCCGTTGATGGCTAGCAGGGAGAGACATAGAAGAAATCATCACAACCCAGAGTAGTAACAGTCTCAGAGAGATGCCAGCAAAGTGCTCTGGGAAGGAAGCTCCTGGGGCTTGGCAGCCTTGTTGTCTCTAGGACCCGCGGGCACTCAGGGAAGAGGAATGGATTGAAGGAAAAGAGGAAGAGGAAGTGGAGCCGGTGGGTGGGCTTGGGGGTGAGCAGATGGGGTACTTAGCAGAGATCTGGCTGCGAAGATTGGGCCAGGGCAGGAGGGCTGTGGCGAAGGCCGTGCTCAGGATCTGGGCTTGGCCCTTTGGGCTATCTGGGAAGCACTGATGGTCAGGCTCCCTAAATGGCTTGTTCAGTTCTGCAAAGCAGCTTGCAGGTAATTAAGGCAGTGGAGTGGAGGTGAAAGGAGAAGAAAGTTTCCATTCGTTACACATCTATGTTCCTGTTGCCGTTGAGTTGATTCCGACTCATAGGGACCCTATAGGACAAAGTAGAACTGCCCTACAGGGTTTCCAAGGAGTGACTAGTGGATTTGAACTGCCAACCTTTTGGTTAGCAGCTGAGCTCTTAAACACTGCACCACCAGGGCTTCGCACATGTGTATAGTTGGGGGAATAAAATGCAGTCAAGTATCTTTGTATATATGGAAAAAAGTTGCTTCTTTAGTGGAAAGTCCATACATTAGATAGAAAATATTTGAGATTAGCGTATCAAACTCAGTCACATTTTAATACTGCAAATAACAAAGTTTTCAATCTAGCAATCTGCATGTAACTTATCAAGTACCAGCTGTGCACAAAGCTGTGTTTGAAAGCTTTCAGATCTCCTACTTGGTAGTTGGTTTTGATTTCTCTATTTGTGCGTTGGGAAATGCCTATCATTTGAAAACCTGATGACTTAATTAGGGAAGCCCATTCAGTAGCGGCAGGAGGGACAGAGGGATTGAAGTGGGGTGTGGGTAGGTGAAGGGGTCCAGGTTGCAAACGGCCTGGTTGACCGGGGCCCCAGGCGTGCCTGGATTAGATTCCTGTTGTAGAAAGGTGAGGAGCGCCTCACTCAGGGCGATAAAGAGAGGAGGGTTCTCTGGCAGCAGTGTTCTTGGGGGCTTCGAGCCATCCACCCCAGGCTTCAGTGTCTCCATTTGCAAAATGAGGAAGTCGAACTCTATCATGTGATCTGAGTCTATGGCAGAAACGGCCCCCTGCTAGGCTGGACCCCCGCTCTGGTGCCCGGGACTGAGATGTGCGCTTGCTCCCGCAGGAAGAAGATGGCCTCCGGATGAGGAAGACGGTGCCGAGCAACAGCCCGGTGTCTGTGCTTGCCACGGCCGGGAGGGAGGAGGGCCTCAGCACCCGGCTCTTGGCGCTGGTGGTCTTGTTCTTTATCGTGGGTGTCATTATAGGGAAAATCGCCTTGTAGAGGCCGCATGCAAGGATGGTCAGTTGGATTGATGGAGCTGTCATCATGGGATTTAAATTTATCATAACCATGTGTAAAAAGAAATTAATGTATGATGACATCTCACAGGTCTTGCCTTTAATTACCCCTCCCCGTGCGTGCGCGCGCACGCACGCACACACACACACACACAGATATAATATAACAAGCTTTTAGAAAGTTTAAAATGTATAGTAAATGATTGGGGGAAAGAATGATCTTTATTAAATGACGAGGGAAACTGGGATTCCTACCACAGTGGCACACTGTCAGCGTCATTTTAATGTCTGTAGGCCTTGGTACATGTTGCTGGGGTCCCTCTCTTCAGAGAAGACACTCTTCCTCGCCAGTTGGTGCTGGCCTGGGGGCGCGGAGCCTGTGCTGGGGAGTGTGATCACCCCCATTAGCCCACCACGCTGCTCACTCACTCCCGAGGCTTCTCACCCACGGCTCCAGTTCTGTCCAAGTCCCCTGTCTCATAGGACTGACGGACAGAGCCGGAAACTCGCTCGGAAGAACTGCACGGTGGCGGCAGCAGATATGCTGGTCGTGGATGGCAGGTGTATGTTGACTGACCCAACACTTTGGAAATAAAAGTCAAGGCTTTGTTCTCTTTATAGGACCAAGCTGAATCACTGTTGGTTCATGTCGTGAAATGGAACTGTTATCCAGAGATGTTTAATGCATATTTAACTTATTTAATGTATTTCATCTCATGTTTTCTTACTGTCACGAGATTATAATGAACGCTGTGGCCTAAATGTCACCTGTGCCACCTACCGGTGGCGGGTTCAGCTGGCACCGCTCCTGGAGCTGTGGCTCCTCCCCCCAGAGCTCTCTGGGCACTGCGTGTGTGTGAAGGCGGGATGCATCTGGGTGTTGGAACACAGCCGCGGGGAAGTGTTTGTCTGTGTAAATAAACAATAGCTGTCACGGGAAGGGATGGCCTCAGTGGCCACAGTCACCTCTACAGTTCCTTTTAACGGGGACGAGTAGCTCATCTTATGAGACAAATCTCTTGTTCTTCCACCACCCCTCACCAGCCACCCATACTTCCAGCACACATGCCCCAGGTCCGGCCTGACTGTCTTCAGGGTGGCCTCAGCTTGGGATCATGAAGCGTGAGTCACTGCAGAGGGTGCGGGGAGTGGGGAGCCAGCCTGCGGGGCTGGAGAGGGGGAACCAGCCTGTGGGGCGGGAGGGGCCTCGAGAAAGGCTCTTCAGATAATCCATCAAGTTGCAACAGAGAGTTTGACTGTGAATTAAGTTTATGCCGTAAAAGACCAATCCAATTCTGTTTGACCGTGTAGCATCTTAAAAGAAAAAATATTAAAATAAAGCCCCCAAATTAAGAATTCTTTTGTCATTTTGTCACATGTGCTATATTGGGGGGTTATTATGATTTTATCGTCAACATTATTACTTTGCCATTGGAAAGTTGATTTAAAAATAGGTCCTATCGAGAAATACATCTGTTTAATGATTTCGCCACACACACACACACATGCTTTTTTAGGTTGGCTTCAACTGAGTATGAAAATAATCTGTGCACTGTCCCCCGGCCCTTCCATTGCCTGCCCTTCAATAAAAGGAGCCCCCTCTGAGTCAGGAAGACCTGCTGGAGAGACTAGTGAAGGAGCTGCTGAGTGTGGCTCCAGGCCGGGGTTGCATTTTAAAAGACAAAATCCATCTTGAGAAGACAGTTCTTAGGAGCCCTCCGCTGGGAGTCAGCCTTCTTGAGCCTTTGCGGGTGGAGTGGGCTTGGGCGCCAGCCCTGCTGTTCCCAGTTAGGGGCTGAAGACAGGCCCAGCAGCAATCTGCTGTTGGTCTAGTAAGTAACTTCCTGTCTTTGTGAAAGAAGTTTTCTGTGAATCCCAAGGACTTGCAGTGAAGGTGCAACAGACCCCTTAGTTCTCCACGGAACACCTGCTGCTTAGCTTGCATCGAGTGTGCAGACAGGGAAGGCCCAGGGTCTTCCCCAGGTGGATCCAGGTCCTCGGGAGGGGTGGAGGGACACAGGCCTTCTGCCGTTTTCTGGATGTGGACCCAAACCTGCCCCACTGCGGGAGCCTTTTACAGCCTCTAGAACCCCAGCCCTGGGAGGAGAGTGGTTAGAGGGGCCTCCGCACGTTATTTGGGGGTGCAGTGTAATCCCGTTACACTCGAGCAGGGGTCAGCAAACTTTCTCAGAGGGCCAGATTATAACTATTTTAGGCTGCTGTGGACCGCATGGTCTCTGGCTCAACCACTCAACTCCAAATCACCTTTCAAATTAACTTGCAAACAAGCATCTATGCACAGACAATACGTAAACGAAGGGCCTGGCTGTGTTCCAATAAAATCTCGTCCACAAAAACCATTTGGCCTTTCCAGCTGGTTTGCTGACCCTGGCGCTCGAGTGACGGTCTGGAGGGTTGGCCTGGGAAGGCCGCTCTGTTTCAGGTCTTTGAAGGCTTTGTGCATGTGGAGGAAGAAGGTACTTGGCCTCCTAGAGGACATGGGTGTGTGGGTTGCTGCTCAGCTCAGATTTTAAAGCCCAAAGCTGTCTCTTCCTTCTAAGTAATCATCTAAAAACTCTCCCTCCTAAAGGTCAGGGCTTGGGGAGCACATGTTGGTTTGTGGAGCTTTTTGACCTGGAGGAGGAAGCCATGGGGAGCCTGGGGTACCCCGAGGAGGGTGGCAGTGGGAAGACTGGTCTGTGAACAGTCCTGCCGAGTGAAGGGCGTGCCAGGAGAGGAGAGAGGGCGGAGCGGGCACTGCTGACATTCGGGGGCCGTCTGCAGAGCCCCCAACACAGCCGGGCCGTCTTTGGCATGGCAAGAGAGAAAACTGAGAAACGCAAAGAGGTGGACGTGTGGTCCTTTGACAAGTAATTGGAAACGAGCTGGCCTAGAAAGGGAGGCTGAAGACGTGAGTGCGCGTTTATGAGTGTGTGTGTGAGTGAGTGAGGGGGTGCAGCTGGGCCGTGTCCTGGGCCGTCCTGGCTCCTGGTTTCCAGGCACCTCTGAGAGAGGTGTTGTTGCTTTAGAAAAATAGCCTGAAGCCAAGCAACGCCTATGAAATGTGAACAGTAACCGAGTTCTGTACGTTTTCATTGACTGAATTTTTAAATAGATAATTTAAGCTCGCTTGGCACAATGCAACATGCCCCTTAAAGACAGCAGGTTCTAATATTTTTAGGTCTGAGGACCCAGCTTTCTTTTTTTTCTCCTCATTTGCATGTTCTCCCTTTCCAGTCTTCTAAACGGCTGGCACCAGCAGTAATAAATACTGATAAAATCAAAATTGATTTTTACCAGTGGACAGTTTATGCCTAGAGAGACGGCTTATACCTACATAACACAGAAGGGGGGAAAATGAAGAACCACCAGTGATCCGTGAAAACCTAAACACTTTCAAACAAATCCCAGCAACAGAATTGCTATCGAAAGCTCTCGGTGGTGGACTCGCAGGCCGCGTTGAGTTACAGACACTGAACGCAGCAATAGCTCAGAGCTAAACAGCCTTTCAAATTACCTTGAGAACAAGCTGCCTTGTGTCTGTCGAGCATATGCACCATATGTAAATAGCTCGACATTTTTCAAACAGTGCTATATTTTTTGCACACACAAATCTTTATATTTGCAAACTCAGAATCCATGCCAAGGCACATTGCCATTTATCATTTCTGTTCCTTCTCTAACGAACTGGCCCCTTTACAAGTTTCTGGCTACGGTTTGTGCAATTCTTGGTTCAAAAGAAAACTAAGAGATGGAGCTGGGGCTTCAAAGTTTCAAGTGTTCAAGGTGACTATGAAGCCCGAGGCCCATCTCTCTCCTCAAGTGGCGAGGCCAGCACCTCCCCCTGCTGGAGCCGGCTGGGACCTTGGGGCTGGGACAGGCCTCCCCGCCTCTTCCTTCCTGTTGAGCCTGTCTCTGGGGGAGGAGGACCAAGTGAAACTATAGAATTAATCAAAGGTTGCCGCTCTGAGGACACCTATCTTAGTTAAGCTTGGGGCCGTGTTTTCCGTTGCTGAAACTGAATGCTTTCAAAGATCAGTCGAAATGGAATTGTGTTCTGAAAGGCCCCGGAAAAGAGGAGGTGGATGACACCAGTTCCTGACACGTGCGTCTGTCTGTCGAGGGCCAACGTTCCTCTTCAGTGGTGCAAAGGCAGCTGTCGAGTACAGTGCCCACCGACGCTGGGTTCCCTGAGGGTTTCCAGGGCCTGGTGGGATTTGAGGAAGGGTTTTTTTTTGGTTGTTGTTCAACCATCCTCAGAGCTGCTTGGATAGAAACCTTCTAGAGAAAGTGGTCAGGACGGCCACTACCCCGTGCAAAGCATTTCCACATACTCGTTCAGATTCTTTTCCACAACAATATGGCTGAGGGAATGAGGGCTCTGTTTGGCATGTGAGGAAATGGAGTCTCCTGGTGGAAACCCTGGTGGCGTAGTCATTTAAGAGCTACGGCTGCTAACCAAGAGGTCGGCAGTTTGATTCCCCCAGGCGCTCCTTGGAAACGCTATGGGGCAGTTCTACTCAGTCCTATAGGGTGGCTGTGAGTTGGAATTGGTTTGGAGGTTAAACTGGGCAACCTTCTAGAACCTTCCTTGGGCACTAACTCAGTATCTGAGGAGGCCTGCTGTGAAAGTCTAGACCACTAACAAAGGCACTATTGGAACTTGGAACACCCAAGGGGATGCTGTGCCAGGCTATGGTGACGGCACACAGCTGGTGATGCCGGCGCTCGGCCGTGTGTTGGCCTCTGCACCTCGCTCAGTTACTCTGAAGATCAGGCAGATGGACGCAGGACTCTTGCTCAGATCCTTTTCATTTTTTTCTCTGAAACGACACACGCTCGAGGCAGAGTGGAAGAAGGCGCGGGTTCCGTTTCCTCACTGCCTGCAGCTCTGCTCGGTGCTCCTGGGGAATGAATGCGGGGGCTTCAGGAAGAAAATTGCCAGTCAGTCTCCGCGAGGTGGTGAAGAGACTGCTTTATGTGGAGGCTTTCCATAACTTGTAAATGAAATGGGAAGCGAGAGCAGTTCATTAAAACGGGCATTACACAAGTGGCCTGCCAAGGTTTGAAAACAGCCGAGCGGCTGGCGGCTCAGGCCTCTCTCTGAATCAGCGCTGCACTTCCCCAGGAAATCAGCAAAGGGGGCACGTCACAGACAACCCTGTGCAGCAGCAGCAGCTGAGAGCGAACTTGGGAGGCTTGAAAATGGATCTGCAGCGAAATTCATAAACCCTTTCACTCCTGCGTCCAG